CCGCTTGTGTTCCGAAAATAAGTATGTGTACTCAATCGTCCTGCATGTTTTTCAAATTTGTCTTTTGTGGTTTTTTTTTTTTTTTTTTTTTTCTTTCCCAAAAACTAAAGTTGCCTCTCAAAGGAAAGTTTTTGTTATTGAAGAGACAAAAGGAGTATGACATCTACTTTTAGAGGTATGTCAAAAACAGATCTCTACAAGCCTTCTCTTCCATTACATGTTGTGCAGTCAGACAAAAAGTTGCATCAGCGTAAATTCTATAATCCATTTTTATTACACTCTGATTACTTTATTAACATACAGTGAATATATACTAAATCTTTTATTTCAGCTTAAGTAATTCGGAATTTTTGACGGAATTGTTGTCGGAACTAGGACTTAGAAGATAAGTCAAATTAAATATTTCGATAACCCAATAAATTCAAGGTCGAATTTCAATATTTTATTTTCGAAGGGAGGGGAAATTTTTTCAGTTTTGGTCCATTATCCTAAGTATATTTGCTTCGATTCTTTATTTTTCCATAAAAGCGAAAAATTTACGTTTGGTATACATATAACGCATAGCTTCAAATGAAAATTTAATAATATACGGAGTGGTTATAATTAAAGTTCCACATTGAAACGGTCATAAAAAGAAAACTACTGGATCAAATGTTATCAAACCTTGGTAATCGTGTAAAAGAGGTCATAGGAATTTATTTTCAGCGAAAAAAAGGAAGTTCCATACCTCACCACCAGGGGCGAAATGGCGCTGTATGCAATATTTTTAAACGAAATATGGGTCGGAATCTAACTTAACCTTTTGTTACACGGGTTTAATATGTTGTATAACCCTTAAGAAATTTTGAAGTAAGCAAATTACCATTTAAAGGCGTTAAATTCGATAAACGTCGAGTGCGCCATCCGTGCGCCATCCGTGTGCGCCATCCGTCCACGGACGAAGTGAGAAATTCGTCCGTGGAAACCACGAATTAGCGATTAGAAAATGTGAGATCGCAAATCACTCGCACAAGTGCGTACAATCTGGAAATCGTTTTCTCACAGATCGCTAATTTGTAATTTTTGAAGCCTGAATTCGGCCCTAAAACATGAAGATGCTGATTCAAAACGCTTTTAATCGATTTGGGCCAAAGAAATCCCTCATGTTATCTATCTAGTTCCATTGCATTCTCCTACTGCATTCGATTGCATAGCAGTCATTCCACACCGTTTAGTGTTGAATGACAGCTAGTTTTATAACTGAACCATTTTTCTCTGAAAAGCAGTCGACAGCTGGACCACTGTGATTGCAGCTCACTTAGAGTCAATGTTAAAATGTTTCGTGGTACATGAACTGCAGTAACGTGGCATTTTAGATACTACGATTTTTATGCAGGGCTGGGCCCCACCTCACGTGTGTCGCACAGTTACTTAGGCAACATTTCACGAATGAACGTCTTATAAGCCAACATTTCCCCTCTTCCCACCAGACTTCAACCTCTGTGACTTTTAGCTATGGGTTTTCTCAAAAGCACTGTTTATGGTGATAATCTAAACAATTTGGCAGAAATGAAAAATCTGATACACTGACATGTTCGTACCATTCCTCCTGATATGCTAAGAGCTGCTGTTGAGAATGCAGTAACAGGATTTAACTTACTTTCGGAAATTGCTGGACGCTACATTGAACACGCTTTGTAACACGTTTCGGAAAATATTAAACACATTTTCAACAGATGTTTTCGTGTCTTATTTCATTTAACAATCTTGTATACACCGCAATTTTTCCCCTGGTGGTGAGTTTTTGAACTCTTTTTTTTTTTTTCCGCGGAAAATAAATTCCCATAACCTCCTTTACACAATTCCCAAGTTGATAGCATTTGGTCCGGTAGTTTTCCTTTTATGACCATTTCAAAGTGGAACTTTAATTATAACCACCATGTAAATTAAACTTTAAAAGTTTGACAGTTTGGTTCAAGTCCCAGCTTTAAAAATATATATATAAATATAATCCTTTATATTAATCGTCTTAGAAAGAATGTTTTAAGAAGCTAATTTTTCTCTCGCGTTATAGATTGTATAAAAAAACATGATCTTTAATATGATTTAGATTGTTTCAGCCGATATAAGAATCGGGTCACTCGGTGGTAGAGAATAAACCCTGCTGGACTATTTTATTTCTTTGTCATTTAGCAAAAATCTTTTAATTAAAATATTTATCCTTTGGACTTCATTAAACTTTATTTATAGTTAAAATGACTAGAAAATGAAAAGCTGTCTTCAGCTGAAACGCAATTCATGTAATTGATATTTTAAGAAATTGACAAGAATGCAAAATTTATGGAAGTCTAGCAATCGAAAAATCTTAATTTTCTTGTGTGTGCACTGAAAATAACTGTAGAAGGAAAGAAGAAAATTAGGGAGAAAAGTAAGCAAAAATTTGCAGGGAAATTTGGCTGTCAGACATACCAAGGTGTTTCAAAAAGTTGGACGCTTTTGAATATACTTTCAGGATACTTCAAAGAATTTAGGTGTTCAAAGAAAAAAACACTTGGACGTGTACACCAGCAAATACCATCAATTGAGCTTGTGGTTAACAGAAAAGACAAAAACGATATCATTGCAGATTAAAGTGAAGAGCGACTATATGGTTGTATAAATTTAAATTACGTTATAGTACATCATATCGTATCATAAATTGAGAATCCCATGATTTTCTCATTCGAATTATTTGAAGATTCAGAAGTTTATCCAGTGATGTATGTGGATGTCACCTAAAGATATTTTTTTTTTCTCCTGATGAAACAGCGGCCGAGCGATAAAGTCGCTGAACGCTGGTAGTTCTGTCCGAGGTCCGAATCCCGCGAACGGGCTGGCTGCATGGGCATTTTCGTGGTTTTCCCCATGTGTAACGTGTATGCGAGCCAGTTTACCTTAGAAAGTCCTCCACAAAGGCATCCCTCCCCTTAGGCAGATAGCCCTAGTGTGCTTTGTCATAATTAAATAAACCAAAACCTCTTGATGAAGCCAGTCTTTCTTTTCATCTCATACCTTCAAAATGTTTAGCCTCTAAAGACTGATAAAGGTTCTGACCAAATATTGATGAAATGGATTGAATTGAATTATTAAGTTACGTCAAAGCAGGGCTATCTGCCTAAAAGGAAGGATGCCTTTGTGAAGAACTTTCTAAGGGAAATCAGCTGGCATACACGGTACACATGAGAAAATCCACGAAAACGCCCATGCAACCAGCCCGTTTACCGGGATTCGAACCCCGGAGTGAACTATCAGTGTTCAGCGAATTTACCTCTCGGCCGTTTGTGGGCCTTTATGAAATGGAAGGCGATAACTTTATTTAAAATGATTGTCAGAAATATCAAGATATTTCGAAAATTTGAATGCTTTTTAATATACTTGCGGAATGCCTAAAGAAAAAGAGCAAGAATAAAGTAGAATGCCTGAAGAAAAAAAGAAGAAATAATAAATTTTACGGTAAAATTTAGTATTTGTATTTTTTTTTTTTTAATTTAAAACTTTTTAATATTATGATATTTGATTCTTACGATTTCAAAAATAAAATATTTGACTAAAATATGAATAACATTTAAGAAGCCACATGTAGGATAAAATTGTGTAAAGCAATGGGCACAATGATAAAACTGTTTAAAGCAATGTGCAAGTCATCCTAAGTTAAAATGTCGCAATCCTAAGTTAAATTTCTCTCTTATTTATATATATCTTTTCTGAACGGAACATTGAAAGGCGTGTTAACTGTGCTTTACTGTATTTTCTCTTTTAATATATGCAGTTTTAAAACGCATCGTAGTCTGGGTTACAAAGAATTCCTCCGAAAGAAACGCAATTCAAATAAATAAAATCAAATTCTGGAAAATTTATATTAATAAATATATTTAAAATGCTCAATTCGAAGGAATAAATAAAATAGAAAATTTAAAACAATTATCTGAAGGGACAATGCAACACAAACAATTAAATAAAAGTTAAGAATTTAAAAATTACCTAAAATAATAACTATGACAAAAAAATATGTAAAGAAAACTATTTAAAAAAAAAATAAACGCTGCACCTTTATTTACGCAGTTCGAATAGGTAAGTAGAAAGAAATTTTTAAAACAGTTATTCGAAAAAAATCATGCAACTAAACAATTAAAATGAAATTCGAAAAGAAAAAAATTACTTAAAATAATAAGTTATAATTAAAAATATAATATAAAGAATATTATTTGGAAAAAAGGAACGATGGTGACTTTTTTTCCTCTCACGGGAAAGGAAACTAGGTTGCCATATATTAAGAAGTTCGCCAAGTGAACTTATTCTTGGCGCAAACTGACAAAAAAGTTCGCCAACATAAATTTGTTGAATTTCTCCGTAAATTTCGCTCCAAATTTTTACAAAATTTCAATATTTAGGCGTAATTTGAGTCGTAGAATCGAAATATGTAAAAATATTGGTATGTTATTTCAGAAAAAGTCCGATTTTGTGTCAAAATGCCTATGTTAGAATAGTGCTATATATAAATCTAATATATTACCTAAGTCGCGCTTTCGAGACATGAAGAACGCAATTTGAATTTTGTCAATCGGCCCAGTAGATCGGGAGATATAGGACTGTCCCTTTTTTTTTTTTTTTTTTTTTTTTTTTTTTTTTTTTTGAGCAGTGTACATGACCATTGACTTTAGAATTTAAATTATGAAAATCAGTAAGCAAAAAATATAAGCTGATCATTTAATTAATTTTCGCCTAATTATGTATTTGTAAGATATTATGTAAAGCTTTCAGGGAACAGAAATACTGGTCACAAAGATCAACGTCACAGTTTTGAATATCTGGAAATTAGAAAGAATCTCCTTTTATAAAACGTGTTATAAAAATGATTATGTACACATTTGATTTGCACAACATAATTGAAAAAAAAATCTAAATATTTCAGAAAGGAATTATTTTTTAGTATATATGAAAGCTCTATTTTTTAACTCATCATAAAATTTGATTAAATTTAGATGCCAAGCATCAATTTGTGCTGAACTGGAGCTACAAGAATTTGGTATTAAACTTCGATGCAATGAATAATGTGTATCCATCTATTCAACCGGGTGGAATTTTAGGTCTTGGTTCTCCCTTTGAGCCGATTATCCCGAAGATTCGTTTAAGGCATGATAGGGACTATATAATAAAGTTGCAGTTGGTGAGTATAGTTTTTTTTAATAATATAAATATCATGTCCAGTTAAATGTCATATGTATACAGAAACTATCCTATGCAAATCCGTACGCAGAAACATGCAGTCTGTCACTATTCAAAACTTTACTTTTCTTAAGCCCTCTTTATTACCTATTTTATTTATAATGGTTTCAAACTGGCTGTTACTGATGAAATTTCATGCTGCCGGCAAAGCTATTTTCATTATTGTATTGTAAAGATCTCAATATTTTAGTTTTTTGAAGTCCGAGTTTGCATTGCTTTCATTTCCATTAAAACCAGTTATGAATAAGACACCAGAAAATATATAAATGAAGCTGTTTAATTTGCAATTTGATATAAATTTTTTAAGAGCCACTTGTGTATCTTCTAAATGACAACTGTGCATGTGGTAAGTGCGTATGGGAACTATACAGAAGAAGGGTTAAAAAAAAAAACCTTTATTAAACTCTAAAATTCACAATGGGTCGACTTAACGCTAACACAGTATGCCCCACTCGGCGATAACTAAAATCACAAAAACTAATTTATAACACAATATCACAATAACTAATAACTAAACTAAAAATTCGAAGATATTAATAAGTAGTAGAAATTCTCTACCAGGGCTCAGAAAACTTCTGTTAATTAAATCGGTGGCGAAATCTAGTGGCAACAAAGTGATAGTTGTTATGCCCCGTAAACCAGCAATAACTCCAGAATTAGAAGCTCACCGCTACAAGAGGCGACAGTTATTGCCCAAACTTCCCTCACTTTCCCTCTAGAATTCAGTATTTAAACCTTTCCTCCTCAAGGTAGAATTTGCATTACTTCGCGCGCTACCAAATTTAAATATTCTGGCATTAACAATTAGGGGAATGAAGGCTTATAAGAAAGAACGTAAAATTAAATTAAATTGGTTATTTTAAATAAATATACAACCTTAATTAAAGATTTGAAGATAAGATTTAATCAACTATTTTTGCTGGTTAAAAATGCGATTGCAAATTTTTGCTCTAAGAATAATCGTTTTGCTTGAGAATACGCTTATATATTAACAGCTTTTTCTCACAGCTGTAAATTGATGAGAAAATTGACCGTTGAGTATCCAGAATCGGTGAAGAAGGTAATATTTAGCAATTTCTTTCTCCTCCATAATTTCTACTAATTAATTTTATTAGAATCCATACGCCATAAAATGTCAAGTTTTGGTTAAAAATAAAGAAGTTTGGTTAAAAATAAAGAAGTGTAGAAAAGGAAAAAGGGCAAAAGATGTATATTTTCATTTATGCGTTGGAGAAAAATTTAATAAACTAGGGAAAAGCTAATAAGACTGTTACTATTTGTATTTTATGGCCAAATCTAAAAATCTTTGAAAATATTCAGACTGTCTGAAATGCCAGTATGCGAGACTGGGATGTTGTTTAGCGTTTTAATAAATGGTAGACCTACGTTATTCTATCATGTTAATTTAAAATAAAAATTTATTATATTTATTTTCAGTAAAACCAACGCTTAACTGTTAAAAATATAAAATTAAAATAAATAATTTAATGTTAATTTACAATAATAAAAAACTGATTATTGTTATTTTCAGTAGAAAAATACTAAATGCATGTAGCGGGAGAATAGTTTGTGATATTATAAACATAATACTATCCATCTATTTATGACGTCACTAAACTCCGCCTCGCAATGTTATTTAGGCAGCGTATTCTGAGCTTTCGTTGATCTTAGAATTCGAAAATTATAATGCAGGGGATATGTGACACAGAACGGGAACACCTGGTGTCTAACAAAGGAAAACATGTATATGTCTCACGTCTTCCACTATCTAGAACCAGCAGCTCACTCAAGTCCCAAGAGGCCTACCCTCGGTAATTCTATTTGCTTTTGCAACGTCGTCAGCTATTTTCCCACGGACTCCCATGAAGTCTGGGAAAAGGAGACTTCAAATGGGCGCCAGATGACAACCCTGATGACACTTACGAATTCTTGAGGTCGAACGCGACCCCCAACAAAGTGTGCAAAGCATATTGTTTTTTACGAAAGGAGAAAACTTTCATACAAGTTCTCACGGGTTGTGGAGTGTCCATTGTGTGTATGCGACAGACTGTCGCCAACTGCCTGTTTCTCGAAATAATTTAGATAGACCTCCCAAAAAGACGTCCTGAATTTTCCCACGGAAAATTTCAGTTTCTCAGGCTGTCAAGACAGTATCTGAGAACAAATCAGCGCCTGTTGACCAATGGAGAGATGCTCCGAAAAAGACGTTTAGCGAATCACTGCATCAGACGCACAAGACACGCCCAGAAAACCTGGACGTAAAAAACAGTGAGTGAAAATAATTAGAGAGATTTTAGTCTGAAGTATACGCAGTCGTTGCGTAGAGAAGAGAGAGCCTTTCTCTTGTATTTTACGGCTCTTCCCGAGTCGCTACTAAGCTTTAGAGAGCCCCTTTCTCTCTTGTGTATTTTACGGCTCGTCCCGAGTCGCTACTAAGCTCTGTCAAGAGCGGAAAAAGAAACCCTCAAAGAAGCGTAGCCGGACTTTTTCTCCGCTACCTCTGTTTGAACTCAAGTGATTATCGTTTCCGATTGTAAACGAAATACTTTGCTAAGCAAACTACTTTGTTATGATAAGCAGTTGAACTTACCTTAAAATTCAATTTGTGAAATTTAACACTTACCTTTATTCACGCTACCAATAATAAAAACCTGACGGTTCAAAAATCGCTACAGCTAGAATGTGCTATGTGTTAATTGGTGGCAGCAGTGGGATCGTAAAAACCCAATAGACAAACAAAGACGTGATCGTTTTGGAGAACCGTCCCGGTTCTTATCTTCATTCAGAATCAGCCGATTCTAGCAGTGGAAAAGAATTCTTTCGCAGTAAAGTTTGGAGAGTTTAACCAGCAGCTGAAAAGGGATCATCGATGAGAAGCGTTCGTGAAGAATCAACTACTACAAGGACTAGTTCCGGAAGTGCCTGGGAAAGAGTGTGAAGTAAAATTCTCCCTCGGGTGTAAAGACAAGACACAAGAAGTCCAGACAAGAGTGAAGTGTTGTGAATTCGCGTTTGGTGTTTACCACCCTCTGTGCAGTGAAAGTGCTTTTTGGTGTTTAGTGAAAGAAGAATCGCCCAGTCGACTATTGTTCAATTGGTTTCCTTCTTCGGTCATTGAATCGCGTGTGCAAATAGAAAAGAAAGGAAAGAAGAGCTGTTATTTTTTTTGTCTGCAATGGGTAAGTTGATATGGCATTATCTTTTTAAAGAGGCATTTTAATGGAGTTTGTCTTTTGTGTATTGAAATTATATGTTTAAATGGTTACTCATAAATGTTTTGTTTTTGATGAGTAGAGAATTTTATAATAGTATTTTCAACCTTTAGAAAGCACACATCAGTTGTAAATTGAGTCAATAAGTATTGCTCTTGTGACTAATATTCTTTTGCCAATAAGTATTTAGCAATTTTTTTTTATATACTGCATTAAGTATGGTTATGTGTTAAGCTGCAACAGATTATTTAAAAAAATGCTTAATTTACTTTAATTTTTTTTCCTATGTTGCTAATGGTACGTATTTTATGTCATACATACCATAAATTGCATTGCATGTGTTTTTACTGTAGTATTTCTGGTTAGTGTGAAACTTTCAGAGTAGACAAACTGGTACCTTTAGTTTTATTTTATTGTATCATTTTAAAATTTTGTCACTGGCAAAATGTCATATCTTGGCAAGGGTAGAAAGCAAGACCTCATAAATCTGTCTGTAGAATTAGGTCTAGAAGTTTCCCCAAATGCAAAAATACAAGATCTTAAAAACCTCATTGTACAGAGCCCTCAGTATGACGAAACATTCGTCGAGGCAACACTAGAGTCGATTATCGAAGCGCGAATCGAACAACTTAGACGCGAAGAAGCCGAAGAGCGTAAACTTGAAAGGGAAAAGGAGAAAGAATTTGAATTAGAACGTCTAAGGTTGACAAACACCAATAATGGCAGAGAAAATTCTCAAAATAATATTCCGAGATCTATGAGAGATTTGCAAAATTTAATGCAGAGATATAATCCGAATCATCGGATATTTCGCTTTATACTTAGCGATGTTTGAGCGTCAGGCTCGCAAAGCGAAGGTGTAGAGGAAGGAGACTGGGTGTCACATTTGATGGCTCTTATTGCCAATAGACATTGTTTCTATTATTCTACGAGAACCGGAAGAGGAACTCGATAATTACTCCTTACGTAAAGAAAATTCTTTTACAACGGTTTCAAAGTTGAGCCCAGAGGCTTTTCGCGGTTAAATTTGTTCAGCACCAGCGGTCGTGCAGGTAGTTTTTGATATAAAGACTTTGCTTTTCGAGCTGAGGAATTATCTAGGATGAATGGTTGAACGGAGCGGAAGTGACGTACGAGATTTTGATGCGCTGAAAGACTTAATGTTGACAGATCAAATTAAACGTCGCGTAAACAGCGAAATTCGCGAACACTTTCGTGGATGAGTTGGCCGAGTATATATATATCTTCCTGCCGAACTAGTGAAGAAATTAGATGAATATGAAGCAGTACGAAAGGTCCGTAAAAAAACCAACAGGGTTTGTACTAAAAATACCGAACTAGGATTCAAATATTAACGGAAAGGAAAAAAAGGAGAATTTTCAGATCGAGTACGTCGCCATGATAATGTTTCGAAAGAAAAAACTGCGGAGAAATGGAAGTCAAGTGTTTTCGAACAACGGAGAATACCTAGATGTTATGAATGTAATTCAGATAGCCATCTCCGACCTCAGTGTCCTCGGTTAAAAAGACAAGAGGCCGCTGAAGCTGTAAACAAACTAGGCATTTCAGGATCTCCAGATACATGGTTAGCTCCCTATATGAGTATAGCGAGAGTAAATAATCGAGAAATGCCTGTACTCCGAGATACTGGCTCCACTATCGATCTGATCGGATTGGACCAAGTAACACATCAGATGCTTCTAGGAGAGACAGTGTGGGTTAAGCAGCC